TGGTTTGATACTCAACGTGGAGTCCGCCCCGGAAATGTTTCCGCCTTCGGTTTTCGGGGTGTGACATATACTGTAACACTCGTGTTTCTTGCCTAGGCATTTATATTGAGTTGATAGTCTAGGTTAACCTTTGTAATTCATTTTGAAGAAATGAAAAGGAATTATGTGAATATTATGTGAATTATGTGTTTTATGCTTAATTATTAGGGTTTAATTAATTAAGAATAAAAATAAGCATCAAAATTAAAGTGTGAGATAAGACCGATATCTTTACATAAAGTTTTAGTGGTCGAAACAAGGATTTCGGAGATATAAAGAATACCAAAATCTAAGTTATAACGAAGAAGTTATGACATGTCGAAGTTTCGCGACAAAACCGGCACGGTGCTGAATGTCGTAAAAAGTGAGTTTTTGATAAACTACTTTTTAGCCTTAGTAATCTAAACAGAAGTCATAGTATTCATCAAACCGAGAAGTTCGATAAAAAGAACGCCCAAATCTGACTTCGTATGAGGAAGTTATGATTTTTTGAAGTTTCAGCTTAGCAGTAGACAGCTAAAAACTCGAATTTTAGATCGAGCAATTTTTAGCCAACACAACCTAAACGAGAATCAAAGGTCTCGTCATTAGGAGCACAACGGTAAAAAGTCTGACGAAAACGGACGTCAGATGAAGAAGTTATGAATTTTTAACGGATTTCCTGTCCCGGTCTGTTAAAAATAATAATTTAAAATGTAAAGTCAAAATTAGCCGACGAAGTCGAAACGAAAGTTGTAGAGCGTAATTTTAGCTACGTGTGCATATAAAGAACGTCAAAAACGGAGCTCGTATGCGAAAGTTATGGATTTTAGAAGTTTTGGCGCGAAAATCGAGAAAATTCGCATAGTCACACTTTGCCACGTCACCCTCGCTTAGAATGTGACACGTGTCCTGCTGAGTCACCGAAGCTACTGAGTCATGCGAAGCCACGTGTCCTCTTCTTATTCGACCGAAGGGAGGCCCAATCCGAAGCAACCAGCTCTCCGGCCGAAGCTTCGCCCTGCTGCTGCGTGTTCCGAGCCTCGCATAGCCTAGCTCCGAACCTCGCATGTGCTCCAGTAGACCGCAGTCCAATCAGAAGCTGTCACCGAGCCCCTCGCAGGTGCGACCCATGTGCGAGCCATGCGCAGCCCACGTGCGAGCCCTCCCCTGCGAGCTTCGGATCTGCAACGTGTGGCCTCTTCTCAGCCCTTGGATCAGAAGCCTCGTCCCTATATATAGAAGGGTGCGAGACCTCCCGGGTAACTTTGAAAATTTGTCAATTTTAACCCCTAAACCCACATTTTCTTCATCTTAACATCCCGCAAAGCCTCGGTATCGATTGTAAAGCCCGGAATACTCCACGAAGTGCCCGAGAAGCCCAGAAAATTTATCTTTTCGGTTTCGAAGCCCGACTTTTGCAGAGCCCGGTTTCTCAATAAAACTCCCTGTTTTATAAGAAACGATTGTTTTAGGAAACGAATTGTTGCCCGATTTTCATCAAAACATGTGAGTGTGTAGTTACTTTCAATTTACACATAGATATGAAGTATTTACCTTGAAATACATGTTATATGTAAATATGTTAATTGTTTAATTGAGGTGACAGTTGAATTGATGTTTTATACAAGTTTTAAACTGTATATGCTTTTTATCTAGAAAATATGTTGGGTAGAACATGGGTAGATGAAATAGTTAATGTGTGTTAAAAAGGTGAGAGGCCTCGATGTTGTTGTTGTTTTTGTTGTAGTCATCTAGCAGAGTATAGATGACGACCACGGACTTTTCTAGACAGTCCAGTGGAACACTAGCAGATTCACAACTTGTATGCGTTGATGAATTAAATGTTCATTGGCGTACTCCATCCCCCTCATGGTTGCCTTTAGGACATGTATGGCTGAGGAAACCCCTTAGCAGTAGTGTCCATCCCGATGATATTCCTTAGGCTAGGTCCCTTGTGATAGGTGTTTAGGGACGTAAAGTGAGGACAACGGGAATGGGTAATCAGGGTTATTGTTGATTGGTGAACTTAATAAGTATATTATTAATGTGGGTTGAAAACCCTATATGCTCACCAGGCTCCCAAGCCAGACCTACTCAGTTTTATGATTACAGGTAGTGGACCCTGAGCATAGTTGGAGGACGATGAGAGATTTTTGGATTATAGGCCAGTAGTTGTAAATAACTATTGAAAGGCTTATAATGTCTTGTTTATGCTTTTAATCTGTATCGGAATATGACATCTCGAGGTTTTGATATGAAATGAAACTATACATTTCTTAAAGAAGGTTTTGATAAACTTTTATCATGTTTTGTTTTGGGAACAAATTCCGCAACATCTTTTAAAAAGATTTCTCTTATTTTATTTTAAAAAGCATAAATTAAATCGGTCTTTTCTGGCCGAGAAATTAGGGGATGTCACATATACTTATAAAAGAAGCGTTTTTCCTTTCACCACATTCATTTGAAACTTTCTTCCTTTCACCACATTCATTTGAAACCCCGTGACTTTTCAATTTCTTTCTAATAATAATTATAAGTTGGTTAATAAGGTTAAATAAATATTTAACCTAAAGTATAATCATATATAAACTAAATTTTAGTATTAAAATAATATATTTACTTCTAATTATAAAGTTATGTTTTTTAACCTTTAACATATTATACTTAATTTATTAGTTTTCATATATTGTTGGATGTAAACCATTATCATTTTAAAGATACAATTTTGGAACAATTTGTATAAAATACTTAAATTATTAATTGAAATATAGCATTATGGGGTCAACTTAAATATAAATTTTAATTTAGCTTAAACAATCCAAAAATTATTTTATAAATAGTTAAAAGTGATAAATTATAGTGTCCTAATAATAATTATAAGTTGGTTAATAAGGTTAAATAAATATCAAACTTAAAGTGTAATCATAAATAAACTAAATTTCAATTTTAAATTAAGATTTTTACTTCTACTTATATGGTTATGTCTTTAACTTTTAACATAATATACTTTATTTATTAGATTTAAAATGTTGTTGTCTGTAACAATTATCAGTTTAAAGCTATACGACTTTTGAATAGTTTTGACAAAATACTTAAATTGTTAATTTAAATATAACATTACAATGTCAACTTAAATATAAATTTCAGTTATACTTCAAAAATCTACGAATATTTTGTAAATAGTTAAAAGTGATAAATTATAGTGATAAATGCAAAAAACTAAATTGTAATTTCAATTTATCTAAAATATTTCTTAAAGATATTTTTATAATCTTTAAAATTTTCAAATAAGTAGTTTAAAATAACTTATAATAATAATAGTTAAAAATTAATGTATATAAATGATTATATTGTTTCCCTTAAAATCAAAAACAATGTTTGATGTTTGAAATAATTATAATGATAGAAATTAAAACATTAAACAAATAAATTTAAAAAATTAATTAACAATAACAACTATTAATAACATTAAGTCATATATTATATTTAATTTTATTAATGTTTAATTTACGGGTAAAAGTAATTTAAACAATTGAGTTTATGCAATTATAATAGATGTATATTATCATATAATTCAAAATAATCAATATATTATATCAATTTAGTATATAAATTATTATATCAAATTTAACAACATTCTTGTTATATTTTAAAAAACATATATTTAGAAATAATTCATTTCTGCGCGCGCAACACACGGATTCGTTGATGTTAAATATAAACCAAGGCATTGCATTTTGTACAGGGAGAAAGGAGATTTATACATCAATCAAAGAAATAAGAACTTTGAAAGTCATGAAAATGGTAGTTGCAAAACAGTTTTCTAGTTTCGAATTTGTTCGAGTTTTCAAAATTCTATTTTACCAAAAAAAAAAAAAAAAAAAAAAAAACATTACTTTGTTACACTTTATACCGAAACTAGCATTAACTTAATATCATAATACAGTATACATCAATCTAAGAAAAGAAAATTACAAACTATCATTAAAGAGTTGGTTTCGAAACTGAAATTTTGAAACTCTTGTAGTGTTACGAGTCCGTTTTCCAAGCTATTATAGTTTCGTCGCTGGAGAGAATCAAGAATTGAGTTGCAAGAAACTTTAGAAAAGATTTTAAGATACCGAACACTAAAATCAGTTCAAAGTTTCAAAACATTCCACTATTGTTTTTTAGCCTATTTAAGAACCAAACACTAAAATCAGATGAAACCTTTTAAGCGACTTATTTCTCATTAAACAAACAAAAAGAAACCCTACTTGAGCGTTTAACTGAATTTATTTCGCATTATATTTTCTATCAAAACCACAAGCTTACAATCACCTTCATCAAAATCAACGTCAACTCAAACCCAAATCAAGCAAGCAACCATGCTTAAACAATTGCAAATCAAATAACAACCAAAATGAAAATAGACATTCAATGATTCGCTAGGTGGCTGACATATAAACTAGTGGGCCCAGGATAGCGTAATTACTGATATATATATATATATATATATATATATATATATATATATATATATATATATATATATATATATATATATATATTCAAATAAAAATTAAATAAACTAAACCCACAATTCCCGGGTTTTGTTTTTTAGGTAGGCAGATGAAAATGAAAATGAAAACGAAAATGAAATGGCTATGGATTGCAAGTTGCAACAAGTTAAAAAAACATCAACAACCTCTGTTCAAACTATTTCATTCAACCCTATGCATGCATATTCATTCATTCATTCATTCATTCATCCATCCATTCATTCATTCATTACACAACCCCACAACAAAATAACATCTCATCTTACTCAAACCACCAGGGGGCACGTTGTTTCCAACCTCCATCATCACCTGCATAACCTCATATTAATAAATTTTAAAAAAAAAAAATTTTAAAAAAAAAACATTTTAATTTTTATTTATTAAAAAAAAAAAAAAAAAAAAAAAAACTCACCAAAGGCATTGAAATACTCTGTTTTACTACTGCCATGACGGGTGTTTATAGCTTATCCTATCTCCATCCCAACCACCATCCGGCTCTTTCCGCTTCGATACGCCGCCAGTGCCACCGCCGGGACCGGAGTTGAGATCCAGACCGCCGCCACCACCACCACCACCACCACCGCCACCGCCCCACTTTCCGGGATTACTTGAACCGCCAGGTAGACTCATGAAGTAGGATGGGCGATACGGCATTGGAACCAGCTGTGTTTGTGTCGGGAAACAAATGGGGCCGGGACCGGGAGCGGGTGTGGGCCCACCAGCTGGCGATGAGTCCATGTAAGCGGTTGAAACGGGTGGAAATGAATTTGGTAACGGGAAATTGGTTTCAAATGGGAAAGGTGAATATTGGAAAGGGACAACTGCAGGAGTTGATGACAAGACAGGGGACAACATTCTTTGTGAAGGAACATAACTCTGTTCCTGGATTGATGGAATTGTGATGGTGGTGGGGTAAGTGTTGTTTGGTGGAAACCAAGATGACATATTTACCCCTATGTCCATGTTATTATTCACTCTCATGTTCGGAACAGCTGGAAGAAACTGCATACCCTTTTTCGGAAATTGCACCGTTTCACCACCACCGGGGTTGATATTGATAGCCTCCTCCACGCCAGGTCCGTTGAGGTCAAACCCACGTGAAGAATTTGAATTTGACGGAAATACCCTTGGCGGCAATTGGACGGTTTCCGGTGGCTCTTGACATGCGTTTAGATCCAGATCGAGTCCGCCTCCGCTGTTTTCATGGGCGTTGTTTTGGCCGGAATCGTCGACTCCGATGTTGAGGTCGAAGTCGAAAAGAGGGCGGACCGGTTTAGCGGGACGGAATGCACTGGTGGCGGCTGAGCCTTTCCAGCCGAGCTCCGGTTTAGTTCTTGAAAGATTTTCGGAAGGGTAGAATGGTCCTTTTGCAGGGGCAGCTACCGTAATCAACGGAGACCGATTCCCATCAACAGGTGATGTGTGATTCTGATTCTGATTCCCATCAACCTCTCCTTGGTTCCCGTCATCGCTAGGAACAACTTCGTTCAGATCAAAATCCAACTTTACCACCGTTTCTGTTTCCGTTTCCGCAACGGGCGTTGTGGCGGAAATGTTAACGGCGGAATCAGGATCGTCGGCTTCGTGTTTTCCAACGTTTTCATGGGAAACAGACGTCCCGGAATCCATTTCATTGTGGATTCCGGCCTTCTTGTCATCATCACACTCTTCAAACTTTATTGCTAAATCAGCATCACCACAAGAAGTGGTAGTAGCTTGAGATTCCTGTAAATTTCTTGACCGATTATTGACCAGTTTCTTCTCTTCATCATGCATATCTGAAGAAGACCAAGAAGCCGATTCTTCATTAACTTGTGTTTCAACTTTACAACTTTCCGGAAGAATCACATTCTTTTCCATCGTTTTATCATCACCATTCTTCTCTTCTACTTCCACCATTCCAGTCTTCACTTCAGGCTTCACAACCACCGGAATCAACGATTCCGATTCCGACCCCGCCCGTACCTCGCCTTTCCCAAATGTCGCGTCCTTACTATCTCCAGACACGTGGGGCCCGTTATCTTCGTCTTGAACGATTCGCCTCAGCTTAGCAACATTTGCAGAGCAAGAATCTTCAGGTAAAGGAGGGGAGCATGCCACGTCAGATCTTGAAATTTCACCAGCTGCCACACTGGCAAGAAGATTCATTCCACCATCATCACCCATTGAAGGTGACACCGACACACTAGCTTCAGAAAACTTAGCACAGCTTTCTACCAAAGCGTTTATAGAGCTATAAGAAGGTTCATATAATTTCCCTGGTTTTGGAGTAACTCCAGACGAAGAACCACCATGTTCATCAGGTAGCACAACAGTCACAGTTGCTGACTTGGCATTCATCACAGCCCTCCATTCCATCTTTCCCATCTGTATCCATTTTTTCCACATTGCTCTGTAAAGAATCGTTTACAGTTTTTCCACTTGTCTTTTGATCTTGCTTCTCAGAAGGTGCCACAACACTTTGGTTGTTTCCATTATCTACAATGGACACGTCAGACACATGTCCAGCTCCTTTCTCATTACCAAAATTCCGGATTTTTCCAAGATTACCCTTTTCATTTCCTGGAGTTGTGGAGCCATGGAAACCATTGCTTGAGTTCCTGCTGTTGTAAACACTACCAGTCTTCCCATGATCACTAGAGCAAGATTGACTGTTGTTTGGAGAATGAGTGGTGCTTGAACTCCTACCTTCTTTAGTTCCAGAAGAAGGCATGTCCGAGGATCCACCACCACCACCACCACCACCGCCACCGCCCGTTGCCGCCAGTTTATCGGCGGGAGATTTGGCGGCAGGTTCACCGGGAATTATTATTATTATTATTAACTTTTGGTTGTTGTGGGGATTTTAAAGGGGAAGGTTGAGAGGTGGAAGTAGAACGTCTGTTTCCTAAATGAGAAACATCAGACATCATTGATTTACTTGGCCATGAGCCACCTCGACTTGTACTAGATTTTGTTTCAATCATTGTCATTTCAGCTTCCACACGTCTCTTCCATGTGCTGACTAGACTTCTTGCTTTCTTCTGAATCTCTGAATTTTTATGGCTTCTTAAATGATTCACAGATTTCCCAACATTACAAGTCTGTAAAGCATGAAGATTCACAGGTAACCTATCAAGGGCACGAAGTAGAGAAAAAAGAAAATCTTCAACGGATTTATCGTTTTCTTTTGGACTCCCATTCCCATCGCCGATTTTACCCTTGTGGATTTCTTGAAGCCATTCATCCAAAACTGACAAACCCCTTAATTGAACAAACCGAGTTAAATAATCAAATCTTTCAGTAACTGATATGACATCAACAAGCATTGTTCGGGAAGATAAGTCGAGTTTCTTGTCAGTGTTTTCGGGTCTCATGAGTTGGATTAGTTTTTCAACTCCTTGGAAATCCATCAATCCTCCTTTATCAGTGATTTTGGAAATTTCGGTTTTTATTATGTGTTCAGGTCTAAGTTGACCAGAATCTGCATCGTCTACTTTGGATTTGTGGACCCCGTGATCTCTCTTTTTACTTTTAGCATGTGATGAAATGGAGGATGAACTATTTTGTACATTATCTGAACTAGGTTTTAGCTGTGAACCATTCAAGGGTTTTGGAGAACGCCCTCCAGTTTGTGTTTGTAGTGCTCCATACATTTCTACACGTGTCTTATCTAATAACTTGTCTACTTCTTGTTGTCTTTCCTGTGTCAAACAAGACTAAATATCCAATCAAGATATAACTTTCAGAAACAAAACTATGAAATGAAAAGAGAGAAGAAGATGATTATACTTACGTTAATGTAGTCTTGATCAGTTAACCACCATAAACACTTGCTCTCAATATCATACACTCGTCTGCACACAAATGAGGATATCCCTGAAGGAAGTTCAAGATTTTTAGGAAGGAATGCGACTTTACACGGATGGAGTAATGATGCAGCAGGTATTTCATCCTTGTGAAAGGAATAGAAGATTTCGTTTGGTGCTGCTTCTAATGAAGCACCCTCTTTGAGTTTTATGTCTGCAGGTCGATAAAGCCAGTTCACACTTAAAGTTAGGTTGTTTTCTTTTCCTACTTTTAACTTACGGATTAGTCCAACAAAAGGAAGGGAGTTGTGGGATGGCTTGAAGAGAGCACAGTCACCAACATGAATCGTTCGACCATCCTGCAAGAAATGAACCAGATTAAACCAATGGAAGTTGCTTTTGTATCAAGAAGAAGATAAACATATAGAGGGAAAACATTTAACAAGATATAGTTTCGATAATGACTGAAATCTATCATGCACAAACAGAAAAGGAAGTGGATTGACACTCAAACAAGAACTTAAAGTGAGTAATAAATATCCCACCTCTAACAAGAACTATCTTGATAAGCAAACAGCAAGTGTGATATAACAACAGGTGGTGATCCATTGAACTAATTAAATTCACTGATAACCCCAAACGCAAAAAGAAATTTCATTTTATGAATTGACTAGCCAGTAAATTTGAATCAAGAAGAGACGGGTTGATTTTAACAGGACTATAGATGCATAAGAACCAAACTGTACATACACATCACGAATTGTCGTTCAAAGCAATTCATTGAAAAAAATAGCATTCAGATATAGAGCTAGCTTACAAGAGCACTGAAGCAGGTAAACTAATCAAAATTGATATATAAATATACATACATGTAATGGATATGGGTATATAAACGGTATAAAAAATTATATATACTTTGGAGAAAGAGTTAGTGTCAATCAATACGAAGGAATTGGAAGGAGCAGCTACAGATGGCTTGGAGGAAGATGGGACCGGCCACATGTGCCGCCGGTGGAACCACAGCTCACCTTCCCACCGCCCATACATAATAGCCTTCTTCCATCATCATAATCCAAGATATCGCTTTTCTTTATAATCAAATCTTGTTGTTCGTACCGCGCGACGAGAACCATGAATTACCGGAGCCAATTTTGTGATCCCCTTTTCCAATTTCTATTTAATCAGAAACCCTAGGTGGTTGAAACGATTGATCATGGGATATAGTAGCACCTCGACACCTCCAGATCGGCTATAGAACAAGAGAAACACCGAAATACATAAGTTTAAACGATCGAGAAGTAATCGACGGGTATGGATTTGAATTAGGGCTATGTGTGTTTGAAACGATTTCGTCGACCAACAATTCGGATAACATATAGATCTGTGTATGAGGTAGGAGTGAATTGGCGAAACGGTGAGATTTCTGAACGGATTTTGAGCCGGCGAAGATTTAACGGGAGAGAGAAATCGAAGAGCGAGCGAACAAGCGAGAAGGGGAAAGACGAAAATCGAGAGAGAAAGAGAAAGAGAAAGAGAGAGAAAGAGAGAAAAAGAGACGGGTGTGGGGTGGTGATGCTACGCGAAACGGCGAAGGCCTGGTCGGGAGGTGAAGTGTTGACCATTGTCAAGGCCTTTTTATAAGCATAAAACGGCACCGTTTCACAACGTACGAGTAAATTACAAAATTGATCCCATGGTATAGTGCATTTCTTTTTTATTATTTACTAAAAGTTATAAAATTAATTAAATTTTTATGGTAGAAATTTAGAATTATTAATCAATTATTTTAAATAAATTATTAATTATTTTTTATTTATATAAAATTATAATCATTGATTTAAAAAATGCATGATCTTATAATATGTATTAATTTTATTTTAATTTTTATTCTACTATTATTTATTTAATATAATTAGAGTTAAAATTTTAAATTTTGAAATTTAAATAAAAAATCAATGGGTTGACAAGTGGCATGACATTAATTAGGAGACCTAATAGTAGTATATGGAAAAAAGAAAAAAATAAACTTATTCTTTTATTAGAATACTAGTTTATAATCCGTGGGAGCTACGGTTACAAAATTAATTAAATTTTTCTAAGTAAAAACTTAAAATTATTAATTAGTTATTTTAAATAACTTATTAATTAAGCTATATTTTTTTAGTTATATATAAAATTATAATCGTTGATTTAAATAAATACGTAAAATTATATTATCTTATAATTTGTATAAAATTTATTTTATTATAATTTATATAAATTTTATTTTATTATAATTTATATAAATTTAATTTTGTTTTTTTATTCTAATGTTATTAATTTAATGTAATTAAAATGAGAAATTTAAAATTTGAAATAGAAAATTAATAGATTGACAAGTGGCAAGATATTAATTACAAGACCTACTATGGTGACACATGGCAAAAAAACTACTCTTTATTAGTATAGGATATGGAGATTTGCAATAATAACAGTAAAAAAAACATATATTATATATTAACTAGGTTTAAAAGTCTGCTCCGCGGGGTTCGGTTGACCCCGCTAGGCTAGATGTGATTTTTTTTGGTCGATTGCTCTCTGCAATTTGCCCATTTACAAACACATGATAATTTAATACGTTGTAATATGTCATTAAAAAATGAATGTACATTACTATTTCTTAATTGCATTACTATAATTGAATGAGCTTTTCAAGAATATTGTTTAACAATTTTTATTCAAGAAAATATTCAAATCTAATCTAATCTAATGCCTTTATATACATAGAGTTGAGTTGTAGTGAAGTATCAGTAGAGAATAATACAGCAGCGGACACTATAAATATATATAAGGAGGCTACTACTACTACTATGTCATCTCTTACCTCATCAATGGCTTTAGAAAAATCATCATTGAATCCCTATTCAAACATACAAATCAAAAATCAACAATGGTTTTTCAGTAAGGTGTTACTCTTGATATTGTTTATGCTAAGAAATTTTGTAGGAATTTAGATTGAACCCAAATACCAAGAGCTTTGTTCCATTGCAGACACCTGTAAGACCTCCATCTCCATCTGTAACATCCAAATTTTTAAGGCCAAAATTTTCATTTTTAAATTAAGTGACTTATAAAAACCATTTAACAAACATTGTCGATAGCATATCAATCCATAAAAACCAACATGACATGTCTCAAAACATAAAATCAAATAGTAATAAAATCAGAGTACAATCACATGGATCACATAGTGCGGAATCATGTGTGTGCGATGCGTTGCTACCCTGTCGGTTCCTTCCCCTTAAATGAAGAGGTACCTTAAACCAAAACTAAAAATCTGTAAGCACAAACTTAGTGAGTTCCCCCATCATACCACATACCACATACTAGTGCGTATTCCTCGGTATCTTTCAATCGGTAGCCGGAAACTAACCTCCCCTTCGGTATCTTTCAACCGGTAACCGAGATCTAACCTCTCCTTTGGTATCTTTCAACCGGTAGTCAAAAGCTAACCTCCCTCTCGGTATCTTTCAACCGGTAATCGGTGACTATTTCACCCCCTACCGCTATCACATAAATATGTAACATGATATTACTACTAGGCATGCATGGGTACTATCCACCCATTCGGTATCTTTCAACCGGTAACTGCCACACCCCAAAACCGGAACATCGGAAACATTCGGGGATGAAGGACGTCATGTTTATTATCACAAGACATGCATCATAGTAAGCAAGTAATGAAAAACCATTTCATTAGAAATAAAGTGTTTACAAAGTATGTGTTCACAAAACATAGAGTACATAAACAAATAACAAAATAAGACTTGAAGTTATACTGCTCCATCTTCTGAATTTCCAGAGCGAGTACCTGTTTACTAGTTTCCTGAGAATACAAATTATTTAAAAGAGTTGGTCAGCAATTAAGTTGTTGAGTTCATAAGATTTTAGTGATGTAAGTAATTTGTAGAAAGTTGTTGAAAAATGTAGTTGAAATGTAGTAAGTTATAGATTCTGTTTTTAGAAAAGTTCGCTTGTTCCTCTAGAAAATCCTATATTTCCTACTTAGATGAAAGATACATAAAAATGATTCTACAATCCTTTCTATGAGTACTAAATGAATACAAATTATATAAAACTCGGAGTAAACAAACAATTGACTGTGCGCTTCTGCCCTAATTGCATAACCAAACAAGGAATAGGAAGTAAAGCGAATAGCACACATCCCATTGTTTGTTAGGTCCTTATTGTATATAACATTGGTGTATTCGCTTGTTACTCATGGAGTTAATTGTAATAGTTCCTTTATATTTTATGAAAAGATTCTTTAAGAAAAACCTTATTTCTTATAGTAAAATAGTGACCAAAGTCATTACTTCTATAATTACTTAGTTTATAAAGGCTATATATAATCCAAAATCGAATAGATAGTTAATTAGGTGCATCTGTCCTAAGCCCACAACCAAACAAGGAACAGGAAATAAGGCGGAAGGCACACATCCAATGACCTATTGGGTATTAATGATATATAACCACGATGTATAAACCAAGGTATTATAGAGTTAATCACCTAAAGTCCTTTAAGTCTACACTGGTTTAATAAAATGGATTAAACCCTTTACTGGGAAGTTTCTAGTTTTGTATACCGAAAGATCTGATTTGAAAAGTATGCTTTGTACTAGAAGACTGTGCATTGAATTAGTGTCCTATGACTTGACCCATACCTGGTACCCCTTATGATGACTTAATGTGTACAGAACATATATATAACTAAAATCGAATATATAATAGGTTGGGTGAATCTGCTCTAAGCCCACAACTAAACAAGGAATAGGAAATGAAGCGGAAGGCACACATCCTCTTACATGTCGAATACTATTTATATAAATCCCTTAATGTATACATTAAGGAATCATAAGGTTAGCATTATGGTCCTTTTCTACTGAATGTACTAGACTCAACTGTTTTGTTTGTCGTTTTATAAAGTGGAAGTACTATAGTATTGTATAAAGTGACTACTATTGTACTAATTGCCTTAAATTTAGTATTAAGGTACAATGTGATGGCTAGATCTCATACTAAAAGATCTCCCTATCAAGAGATTATGGGAACCAAACGCAACCTCTGCAATAATTGCAAGCCGTGAACATCCACATTAAATTATATGATCATATATACCCAATATAACTATCACATTTTTGTTTAGAACAATGTGTTAGTGATTCATTGGTATAGTTAGATCCTGTAAGTGTTCCATGATATAGCACCTTGTTATGTTTGTTCTGTTATCGTGTATTGTATCTTCCTCCATGTTTCTCTTTATTGTGTGTTCTCTTATGTTATCGTGTATTGTATCTAGTATGAACTGACTCTTTAAACTATACCCATTATAGTTTACTAGTGTTTAACTTGAACTGTTGTTAAAAAGACTCGTTTTACAACTAAGTTATGCTCGTACTTTAAAAATGGAGTTTTGCTAAACTAAAAAGTAACATAACTTTAAAAGAGCTTTTGAAATGTTTTGATCACTTATAAAGACATAAGCAACCTTTTGAAAGATGTTTATAACATATAATTACACAATTATCAATTGTGTTCAACTTGTATCCCCCCCCCCTTAAAAGTATTTAAAATAGTTTAAAAGATTCATTATGGGGTATAAACTCACCTGATGTGGGTGATTCAAACGAGTGTGCATGTAAGGATGAGAAGTTCCACAAATGAAGTCCTGAGACACAACAAGTCCTAAATGAAATATAATGACACATATTGGCATGGATATAGTGTTTACATACAACTATATGAAAGAAAACATCTTCCAGGACTAGGAAACACTTTAACCAAGTGTTGGAATCACATGTGATTCAACAAAGGAAGGTAAAATGGCACTCACATGAGTTTACTACCATAGGTTTATGGCCCAAGGGAGTTTACGGTCATAAACTCATGGTCAAATATGGCTAAGAGTGACTTTGAAGGCTAGGGATGCTTTAGGGACTTTTGTTCTATATTTGCATGAGAAAGACCCACCCATAGGAGGCCCTTGATGAGATTACGGCCAAGCATGGAGCTTACAACCGTAATCTCATAGAATTTATGAAATGGGGGTGGTTTAAGGTCATACAATCATTAAGGAAGAGTTCTGGGTCACTAGTTTTGCATCTTATAGGGTTTTAAGGCTCAAACATATCCTAACATTGAGTTTACGGCCAAGGATGATCTTGGGTCGTAAACTCATGATGTTCTTGGGTAAAATGTGTGTTTCAAGTCTCTAAGCATGATTCCTAACTGGATATGAAGTATAGGGAAGAGTACTTACGATCTAGAAGCTTGAAATGGTTGATATTAGCCAAGAACACTAGTGTGTGTTCTTGGTGAAACTTGAAGATCTAAGAAAAGAGTGATTTACATGGATGAAATCATGTAAGGATACTAGATTAAGAGATGTATCAACAAATCTAGGAAGAATACTTACATATTTTGAAGATCTAAGAAGAAGGTTGGATGATAGTTGAGAGAGAATGAAGGAAATCGGACAAGGAATGAGATAAATGACTAGAAATGACCAAATGCCATATATATGCTCTTGAGTTTACAGCTACATGAGTTTACAACCATA